CAACCGCACACCAGCTAAGCGAGTGGGAAGCGGCGGGGCTTTTGGCGCTTCCCTGGCGGGGAGGCTGCAGCATCCTGGTGTGCGCGAGGTGCTGGCTCGAGTCGCACTGCGCCGAGCGTGCCCCTGCTGCAGGCAACGCGCCTGCCCTCGCCCACGGCTCAGGCCTCTGCGCCGCGCTTTGCACTGATCTTTCCTGCAGACACAAGGCCCTGGTTTGAAGTTCCCCAAGGTGCAGCCTGTGCCTGGGTCAGCCCTGCGCCCAGAGTCAGCAGCGGGGGGTTCGTTACAGCTTCTAACATGTCCTCTGTTGTAGTTCCCTGACCACTGGGTACTTCTGTCCTGTAAGTCCCGCATCTGTGATAAAATCCAGCAGCACGGATAACTGCTGCATCTTGTCTGGGGCCTTTTCCTGCATCCGGCTTTGCTCCTGCATCCCCCAATGCTTTGCACACACATCCCTGTGCCCGTCCTGGCTGGGCCTGGGCCATGTTTCCAGGCAGAGACATCTACATGAAGGGCATGGGATGGGTGGGTAATAAGCTTCATCACACCAGTACCTGGAGCATTTGTGCACATGCAAAACCCAGATCTGCACAAAGGAAACCATTTGCATGAGCTGATTTTTTCCCCATTAGAAACGAAAGCTTTGCCTACACTACAGCATGAGATTTTGATTATCTGGTTTCCACTGGGTTGGCACTCCTAACTGAGGTGTAATTGGCGAACTCACACAAGCCCTAGGAGAGCTGAGGCATCTGGAAAACGTAACGGAGTAGCATTCTGAAAATGAAGATTTATGGTTAAACTGTATGTTTCTAAATCTAGATTATGTAAATCTGCCTCTAATTCTTACATACTCTGTCAAAAGTTATCTCAAATGATTATGGCTAGAATTCAGTGTTTAATCTTGCATCAGTTTCCATAGAAAACACAGGCTTTCCACCATTAACAAAGAAAGGTTTTAGTTTTGGTGTTGTCTCATTGATGGAAAATCCATTTTATTTCAAAAGGCCTTCACTTAATCTAACACACCATATTCAGAATGCTTTGATTGCATAATGTTAATTTTTGGCACTCTGATGTTACATTTTAGGAGTGTGTCCCTGACAGATAAATCTGCACAGCTAAGGACGGAGTTAAGACTGGTGTGCTAAATTTCAATCTAAGATCAAAGATTTATTTTAAAATGAGGATGTAAATAGGGGCGTTTTCATCTGATGCCTTTGACGTTACTGGAGGTGTTGAATTGTAAGTGGTAATTTCTCTACTGAGGAAACTTAGAACAGAAAGGAGAGATAATAATATTCACTATCTTACTTCAAATACTTTCTCTGCCTGCATTTTATCAATATCAGATTATCTCATTTCACAGATAACAGCAGTGCTGTTCAATCTATTTGTTTAAGTTTTGCATACGTCATAAATGAAGGTTGACTATTGAGATGCACATACTTTGTGATGATCTATTTGTCCGTTCTACTAGTAATTAAAATAGAGAAAGTATGTGTAGCAAAATTGCAAGTTTTCCTGTTTAATTAGACATCTCTCCTGAGGACTAATCCCTAATGACCTATATAGTGTAGCCCTAACAATTTTTAAAGTATGACTAGTGACACCTAGCTGAAGAGGGGAGTACTCTTGAATATGCCTAGTTTTCTATTTTGTATATATGTCATAATTTTATGCAGATTAGGTACTTGCATTCTGAACAATGTCTTTAAATTTGTCCCAAAAGATTTGAAGCACGGTGTGCTTCAAATAGCACAAACTATACTGCAAAGTTACCATTAGACTTTAAATGAAAAATAAGAATTTTTGAGATTTGTAGTCATTCAGGTCATCATAAAAACATGTTTAAACGGTTTAGAAGCACTAAAATGAGTTCACCTGTCTTGCAGGTCCTCTGAGACACTGAGCAGGTACGTTCTGTTCACTTCAGCACTGTGCCTTCATCCTTAAGGGTAGGATGCCAGGAGATACCATCTCTTCCCTTGACGTGTGGAGTGTTCTTGATTCATTGTGCTGACCTTAATGAAGGGAATGTTTGTAACTGTGTTGCTTAATTGCATAATGAAATACATATTAGAAGATACATATCTCTAGATTATATAGATTGTTAAAGTACTAATGTACTTTAAAAAATGGAGAGACTTACAGAAAAATAGGAAGAGGTTTTTTTAATCAAGCAAAAAGAGGGTTATAAGCACTCTTTCTAAAAATAAAATTAGACTCTTCATCAATCCTTAACATCTGCATTTAATATTTTCTTCTAAACAAAAAAATACAGATGCCATTATGTAGCAAATTACAGTCTTTGACAACGTATAGTATTTACCAGCTCTTACACTTCAATTCTAATTTGGTCATTAATACTTGACTCATTACTGCAGTGTGTTACTTGTAGTAAAAGTGCCACAATAAACATGACATTGTCATCTTAAAACTGCTTTGTTATAAATTGTAGAGAATATACAGAGTTACAAAGTCATTGTGTTTTTATCAAAATATACAAACCCCCCCCAAACCTAACACAAGCTATCCATATTTTTTTCTTATGAACTATACAGTTATACAAAATATCTGTAAAATTATCTTTATATGTATAAATATTCTACCTTATTTGCTTTGGTCTATAATTAACATCATACAAGTCCACTTGGAAAATATCTCCCATATACTTTCTTTGAAACATCACCATACTTTCCATCTTTATTCTCCTATATTCTTATTTCAACGGAACCAAAGCTGCCATGAAACCAAAAAATTTCTCCTGGGTTCATAGCATTCACCAGTGATAGAATAAATAAGTGGACTATATTATTACTTAAATCAATACTGTATTACCATTTCACTTTTAGTTTTATCATACTCAAGCTATACATTTTTTTTTCTAATATTCAAGAAAACTAAGTAAACAAAACGTATCATATTTGCACATAGAATTAAATCAAGGTTCACTACCTTTTTCCTGGCTTTTTTTTTTTTAAACACTTCATAGAGATGAAAGTACATGACTACTTGGAAATGCAGATACAGTACAACAGAGCCTTATTATATAAAATGCAACTTGCAGGCATCTATCCTTGATTTTTTTTCACCTCATTTAAAATGAATCATATTTTTACAAAAAAAAGATTAATTGTAAGGTTTATTTTAGTGATGTCTTTCAGAAGCTTGTTCTCCCAGTTCTTAGAAGAATGCCAAACCATAAGGCTCACCATAAACGTGTCCACTGTGCTGGGACCAGGGACTCCCTGCAGAAGCTCGAGTGGGGCGACAGGTCAGGCATATTCAGAGGGATCACTGGGAAAGGACCTGGGAAAGGCTAGATGCTGTATTTAAGGCCTGGGAATGATGAGGAACCCCACAAACCGGCCCTATCCCCAGTTGTTTAAGGGCTGCCTCAGTGATATATATGGAAGCAAGAATCTGTGCGTTTACCTACTCCTCAAAAAAGGAAAAAAAAAAAAGGCAAGTTTATTGGGAGTAGCTCAGTCATTTGTTGTTTGGGGATTAGTCCAGGAGGGAGAGGGAGACTGTCTAAATCTCCCCCTCTTCAGAAGAGAAGAACAATTTTTCTAAAAGGCAGGACTCGCAGACCTACCAGGAGGTGGGAGCTTATACACATGATGTTTTTAAGCTGGTCAGATTCCTAACTTTCTATCTATGGGAACAGAGCATGAATATTTTCTTCAAACAGATGCAACTGAATAGTCCTACCAGGCCATTGACAGTTGAATCTTTTGGGATTTATGCAATTTGGAAGACTGACTGTTACAAGTTGCACTGAATCTTCAATACATGTCTCAGAGATACGATAAATCTGGATTACTTTCCATACTATCACTTAGAGACTTTATGCTTAACAGGGTAACTGCAAAACTAAATATGGACATGTAAATAAATTTATACTCTTGCATCTGTTTTATAAATGCTGAATGCATTCCAGAACTCAACTGTACTTCAGCATACTCAAATTCATGAAACATTTCCCACCTTCACTTTAGAATACACTATACCACAATTATTTTGTTTATAAGCACATTACTTTTTGTTTAAAAAATGCAATATATGGTTTCTGCAACAAAATTTCCTTCTACAGAGTACACTTTGAATCTATGTATTTACTATGTCCAGAATGATCTGACCCAACAACAGCACTGTAAAATAGTTCAGCGGTTAGTTAATAGTGACACTAAGTAGTAGGGGCTTGATGGGTCCTTTTTAAATTTGTTTTCTTCTCTCTCTCTATATGTATATTAGAAGTCTATTGTGGCAAAAGTAGTTTGGGTCAGACCCTCATTCTCTTTCACATTAGGTTTGTATTATTGCAAAATACCAGTTTTTCTTTTCAATGATTTTTCCCCTTCCTCTTTTGCATATATTGACATACATTTAGATGAAGAACTTTGATCTTTATTTTTGTAAATGATACTGATTTGAGTGGAAAAGTTTCCCCATTCAATGCCTTTATATTTTTTCCAATATACATATTTGGATTTTTCTCCTCTTTTGTACAACTGTCACTCAGAGTATAACTTCTGGAGTTATATTTTGTATATTTTTCACTTCATTCCCTTCTGAGCCAAGAAAATGTTGATTTTCCAAGAGTTTAGCACTTGTATTGCAAAAATGTTCTTTCCTATCTTGTGAGCCTGGGTTTTTGAATAGATGTTTCTTTTGGTGCATTCCCAGAGCAGCTGCTGTCTTGCAAATTTTGGGGCATTGAAAGCAAGCATATCCTTTTCCATTATGCTCACGTATGTGCCTTTGCTCGTGATTCCTTTTGGTAGAAAGATACAAGAAACTCTGTAAGCAGAACTGACAGTGGTACCGCTTTTCTCCAGTATGAATTCTTTCATGTATTTTGAGCGTTTCATTTAAAGTGAATGCCTTATTACAGTACTGGCAGACAAAGTCTTTGACCCCCAAATGAATACGTTCATGCTTCTGTAGATTCCCAGGAATGGAAAAACACTTACCACAGGTTTTGCAGGTGTAGGGCTTTTCCCCAGTGTGACACCTCATATGCATTTTTAGGGTGGATGGACTTTGGAATTGTTTTTGGCATAATTCACAAATGTAAGGCTTCGAAGTAGCTACATGCCAGTGTATGTGTTCTTGACTTTCTGCGGTGGTAGATTTGTCTGTTTCACAGAGCTCACAGTGAAGATTGGGCATCTTGGGGTTTTCCTCTTGACTGATGCCCTTTTCCTCAGGTGCATTCCTCAGTGCATACTCTCGGCTGCATGTGTTGTGACTTTCCTTAATGGAGTTCTTGTATCCATGCTTTTTCCTCCATTTAGTCTTTTTCATTTTTCTTAGCTGTTTAGATTTCTTTTTTGGTTTGTAATTGTAATAAGGTCTCCAGGGCTTATCGTTGGAATCCTGATCACTCACATCATCACACATTTCTGGCAGCTCCATGCATTCCGCACTGTAGAGCTGAGATGGGCTTCTTTCTTTTGCCTCCACTTCCGACTCCTCGACTAGGTTGTCCTGTGTAGACTCATATCTAGACTTTCGACCCCTTTTACAAAACAACTTAGATCCTAAAATGTGCCTTTTCACAATAGCCTCATTACCAATTTTTACTGTTATTTGACAAAGAGGAGCAACATTACTGTCAGTAGACGTTCCAGGTAAGGCGGGCTTTGCAATGTATGTTTCAGTTTTACTTGACTCTTGAACAGTATTTGTTGTTTTGCTAGATGTACCTCCAGCTCCTGTGATGTACTGCGTATCCTCACTCGTTTCTGCTCTGTTGTACAGCAGTGTTTTCTTTTTCTCCTTAATAGTTTTTGATTTAGTAATGCATTTGCCATAATTATCTGACCCATATTTACAATCATCACTTATAGATTGACTAGGTAGGTTATTTGAAGATTCTGCTTTATTGTTTTCTATGGAAGTGACTGTTTTACTATGCATTATTACTGATGAAACTCTGCTACTGTGCATTATAACAGAAGGTGCAGAACTGCTGTAACTGATGACAGAGGTTGAATTCTCTTTCATATTAGTGAAAGACACAATTGAGGAATCACGTTCCTGAGAACTGGAAGCATTTGCAGCAGTGGAAACTGTTTTTTCACGGGTGAAAAAGTTACTTTGCAGGTCAGAATTTAATATACCCACTCCCCAGGAGGAAGAATTCTGAGTATTTGTAGAAGCTGCTGTATCATTACGTGAAGAGGTGTCCAAGGCAAGAGTTCTGTTGTTTGTCAGTATGTTGCTTTGAAAATTCAGTGACGGTAAGTCAGAAGTAAGAGAATTTGGAATGAAACAGTTACTAGAAGTAGATTCATTAACCTGGCTGCTTGCTTGAACACTTTCATATGAAGAATTTCGATAGGACTTATAAGGTAGTCGCCGGCATTTCATGGGTAAAAGTCGATAAAGCTTATATGGATACATACTTGGTTTTAAGCCTCCATTGGCTGTTTTTTTATTTACTGAGAGACGGTGGTCAATTGCATGGAAAGACTTTTGATGATTTTTTAGTATATAGTAAGTCATAAAAGTCTCCAGACAGAAAATGCACTGGTATCGTCTTTCTCCTGTGTGCCAGATCTCATGTCTGGTGCGATACTCAGCTAATGCAAAAACTTTGTTGCAGTAGTGGCAAGGATATGTTCTTCTCCATGAATGTACATTTGCATGTCTCCGAAGACTAGACAGTGTTACATAACTACGCTTGCAAACTATGCAAGTATATAATATCTGCCCATCAACAACTTTAACTAAATGATCTGTTTCTGGTAAAGTGCAGTTTGCATTAGAATAATCAGTTATGCTGTTTTCAGACAATAGAGGCTCTGTGTTTGCATATGAATTGCCATTCCTTCCATCTGTAGCAGTATAATTATCTGAAAAATTTTGTTCACTTCCATTGTGAACAGATAAACTACTTGATCTCATACAGACTTGTTCATGACTTTCCAGTATATTTAGATTTGCAAATTGTTTGCTGCAGTATTTGCATATGAAAGTTTCCTGGTGCTCTGAATGGAGCTGAAGATGAGTACTGAGCAAAGCTCTGTCATTGAATGATTTTGTACAGCAGTTACAGTTGAAAACAGGTGGAACTACAGTTGCCACAGATACAGGGATGTTAGCAGATTTATTTTCTTCTTCTCTGGGTAACTGGAAATCCCCAGCTTTATTTTGAGGTTTTGGAAAAGAAATAATTGTTTGATCAGCAACAGCTTCATGTTGGACTTCTGTATTGGATACTGTAGAGGCTGACGCTTTTGCTACAGCCAGGCCAGCGCTCTGGGCCTTAAAGGCAGTCTTAGGAGTACCACAGGTCTGTTTTCCTGGCTGTATGAGTGGTGTAGCTTTGACATTTTCATAATGCTCTTCACCCATCTTATATGAAGGGCTGTTGTCCTGTTCAGAAAAAGATGTACCTTGAAAAATATCTCCCCCTGAAGAAACTGCATATGAGTGTTCAGCTAATGTACTGGCTGATTCAGCATCTTTGCAAGCCTCACTTCTGTCAAGGCTGGTGGTGGGTGTTTGTATTGCCTCAGATACCTTTTTGAAGCTTGCTCTCAAATCGAGTGGAGAAAACACACTATTCTCGGTTTCAAAAATTGAGAATGCATTTGTAATTCGTGGTCCATTTGTGACAGCTGAGTCTTCGTGTCTCTTTTCATGTTTTTCCTCTTTGACAGTTCCCTTTTCATTGATACAGTATGCATAGGGGCAGGGGGAACTTGAAAAATTAACGTCTGTAAGATCTTCTAGAAATGATATTCCCAGTTTTTTCCCTGCAGCTGCAAGGTCTGTTACAGTCTCCTGTCTTTTAACAACTACTGTGGAACTGTAGATGTAATTAAGAATTTCTGTAAACACTTCAGCTTTGAGATCGTCTAACTCCAGTACATGACCTGAAATGCAGATAGTACGACTCCAGAAAATGTTTTTAAAATAGAGGCTTGAAGCTGCCAGCACATTACTATGGGCTTTAAACTTGGTATCTTCCACAATTATGGTGACATCACATAAAATACCCCGAATGCGCTGTTCATTTAAAATGGAAAGTACAGTGTCACTGTGGAAGTCATCCTTGAGATCCTTTGAATGCGACATGACTGTCATCTACAAGGGAAAACAGAAGAATTAATGGAAGCATCTTTAAAGGCATTATTCATTTATTTAAATGACAGATTGAGTTTATAGCCGTATATTTAAGTTTTAAGAATGAATACAGTTTTGCTATATAACTTGAAATGGACTCACGTGAACAATATTGATTTATGCACAAGATAATCACTAAGTACCAATTATTTGCTCCTAGCTGACTAATACAGCCATGTGATGCATCATCATGGCTATCAGTTACAAGTTCTGTCTCATTTCACTGGGCTGTGCTAATTTCTCAACAAATAGTTACAAACAGGTCAAGGATGCAGGAGTTCCTGTAGCTCCTCAGTAGGAGCCAGAGACTTCACCTATCCCTGAGTGGGTCTGTAGCCAAACCTGGGCCTTTTTGGATAAAGTGACTGTCACTCAGCCCTGGGACCTAAAGCTGCCTCATTCTGACTTGCCAGTGGTGGCTTGGATGCAGCCCACATGGAAGGACGCGCTGAAGCCTCGAGGTGATTTGCCCAGCACACATCCGAGTGACTTGGTGGCCTTTATGGGAAGGCTGAATTGTTTTAGTTCTGTGGATACTGAGGACTTCATTTTCTGGAGCCGGTTGTCAATCATGTAACAACATAACTGCATTTCATCTCCTTATTAACATAACATTTATCACAGAATCAGAGATCCTGTGAAATGCAGTTTCAGCTACAGGACAAGGCTTTATGAGCAATTTTGTTAACAGCAGTGGAGCATGTGCAACAGTACTTATGTAATTCCTTTACTATTTTTAAAATAGTGATTAGGGTTTATTAGATACATGGCATTTACTTTAAAATGACAGATTTTTATTATTTTTTCCAATTCAATGAGTAAAATTGCAAGTTAAGATCAATAAAAGTGTTTTGTTTTGTTTTTGCTTCAGGTATAGTTTATTTATGCTCACAGTTTGCAATATGATAGTGTGTGTTTGTTCTTAATTTCTGTTACATAGTAAGATTCGCTAAGCAAACAACAGTCATCTAGAACACACTGGCTCTCTCATCCAAACTATTAGCAAGTAACTCTTCGCTGAGCTTGGGGCCTTTATCACAAAGTAAGCAATAGGACACATAGCCCTGTTGAAGCTAGTCTAGTTCACACTTCACACAGTTTAGCAAAAATCCACTGACTGTTTCACTGCCATTTAAATTATACAAAAAAGAATGACGTCTCTGGAGATCTCCAAGGGCCGCTTGGACGCAGTCCTGTGCCACGTGCTCTGGGTGACCCTGCGTGTGCAGGGGGGTTGGACTAGATGATCCCTAGAGGTCCCTTCCAACCTTAAGGATTCTATGACTCTATGACAATGCTACTCTGAAGACCAAGCCAGTGCCCTGTGTGAGATATCATAATTTAGTACATTATAGATGAAGTTTAGAGGTAAAATTTATACCTTACAACAGGACTGTTGTTTCTCTACGGCAGATATTATCAATGCAAAGGGTCAAAACTGCTATTGCAGATAATGGCTGAGAGTTGTGAACACACAGAGCTCACAAGCTGTGACCCATGCCAACTAACACATATCCAATGCGTAGATATGTATGTCTACACATATCTAATGTGTAAATATGCCATGCATATCAAGAAAGGAATTCATCAGTACTACTATGACAGAAATGTAGACATGCATACTGATTATCTAGTCACTTGCACTAGCTATAAGTCTAGATGCACTGTTTTCTGTTTTTAAATCTTAAAACCATATTTATAATATGTTGTAATGACCTGAAGTTCACAGTAGTTAAGGATATTTGTCTCCTTTGGTTCAGTATCTGGAAACCCCTACGTAATTGTAGACAGCTTCTAGCATATCAAGTCTTCTACATGAAGAACTCTGACAAGAACACTTTTCTTCCAGCAAGTAGCCACAATCCCTTAATTGATTCTTTTCCACACTGACAGTGCCTAAGATTATGTCTGACTTGCTCATGTGATGTGGTATTAAAAACCAACTGTCAGACATCAAAAACATTTCACAAAGGAAGCTATTGATACAGTTATTTCCTGAGTGTAGAATATAAATGCTGTCAACTATCTCCCAATGAACTCCCCCATAGACACTTGCCTGTACTTTTTCTGCTTCTTTGTAGTAGACAGCTAGTTTTAGTTCAAAGACATACCACCCGACATACTGTTACTAAATATACCAACTTCTATTCTAAGTGGCAACTTCTATTCTAAGTGGCACTTACACATAGAGCCTACAATTCGTTACCTGAGCATTTTTAGTAAGAGTCTTATTATTCAGCTAGTTATTTTGAAATTTATCCCTTCTCAGGGAAAAGTGTTTTCAATTTCTACTTGCATGTCAGTAGACTGGTAGTTTTTGCAGTCTTTGAATCATGGATATTGCGGTATGCTCAGTCTAGATTCCTTATGTAAAGATAGTAGAAACTGTCAATTGCTATTTGGACACTTATTTTCTCCCAATGTGCTAAACTATTTGCATTTCATTACAAGATTATACAAAAAAAAAGTATATCTCTGGAGCAAATTAATTTTCAGAGCCATCACTTTCGCTTATCTGTCCCAGCTGGTCTGTTCCCTAAACAGTCTACTTCTTCATCTGTGTAATAATTCTCTACTGCCTTTTATTTTACCTGTCTTGCCTCTTGCATTTTTCTGTGTGTGTGTGTGTGTGTGTGTGTGTGTGTGTGTGTGTGTGAGAGAGAGAGATACTGTAAGATCAGAGTGCCCTATCTAGCACACATTTTAGGAACATTTTACATTCTGTTTGCATCTGTGGAAAGTACTGTAAAGGGAAAATATCTCTTTAGTTCCCAAGGGTGCCCTGCTGAGATTAAGGTGCACAGAAAGCTGATGAATCTTTACTATATATTTTCTATTATAACACTGGAAAGTCCATTTGAAATATTACATTTTTTTTCTGCCTGATTATTGTTGTAAAATTATAGGAGAAATTTTAGTATTTAAAATGTTGCCCCAAACCTATTTAAGTGACATTTTGGGGCTATTCAACCCAAAGGGCTATTAAAAGGTCAGGTAAATTCTTCAGGCTACTAAATCATACTTCCTTTACAAGTTTCAGTGTATTACTTTGATACTTTTTTCCACTGCTTCCAAAGGAAAGTAACTTCTTTATAATCAGCGTGGCATCTACCTTGGGTATCTTGCAACCTTAGACATCTAGCTTCTGAAGGGCAAAACTTTAGTTGAGCATTGCTTTGTGCATATTTTTGTTTGTTTGTTTTGGAAAAACAATAGTAGGCCCAGTCTGTAGTTTACTGTTATATTATACATAGCTACACATCATTTTCTGTAAGTATATTTATATTTCTTTTCTTTTATACTCTTGCTTCTTGCCATCCTTCCTTGTTAACTAAGAACAACACTTCCCTTTTGTATTTATTACACCCTCAGAAGCATTATAGACTTTAAATATTTATTTTCAGCCTCACATTATTTCCTCTAATTTTTAATTCAGACTGTTGCAGGAGATGAGAAACTTAAAGAAGATTATACTAATACTGGCAGATCTCTGCAGCCATCAGATGAACCAGTCTGAAAGACTTGTAATTCTTGCTCATTATTGGCATCCTTAATTCAGTCTTTCATTTCCTGGTTTAGATTTTCTATCATCATTTCTCATCATAAGGAAAACAGCCTTTAAACCTTATCAGTGTAGTCAGAGAAGACTTACACTTTTGTTTGAAGTTACATGTCTTACTATGAAAACTAGTGTCCCATCACTGAACCTCCTGTAAGAGTGGAGAGATTTGGCACTTTGTAACTTATCTGTCTCTAAAAAATAATCTTTTCATAACATACATGTGCCATAGTATGTCTAGTTCTTTCTGATTTCAGAAGGTTTCAGCTTTTTTCCATGTCTCTTCTGAATCTTTTAACTAACTGAAACATGGAAATTCCTAACCAGGAAAGCTGGGGCAGGAAGTGGTGCATCTGCGGATTCAGCACAAGCTCAGGCTCGTCCCTTGCCCGCGAGGTGGAGCTGGATACATGCAAGAGAAGCCCCGTCCCCTTTCCTGGCAAAGCAAGGTGCGATAGTGAGGCTCGCTCAGCTGCGGTAATGGGAACCGCTATTGCAGAGTTCAAACATAATTGTTGTTTAATCCCCTATGAATTACATAAAATATAAGCTGCTGATACAGCAGTGAATTTGAGTATATTTCTCTGTCTTGAAATAGAGCCTCTTGAGACATCAAACATTTGGCAACTCTTCAACTGTCTAGATAACTTGAAGACGCTTCCTGTTTATGGGTAATAGCTGTGCCCTAGGCAAAACTGAACTGTAGCTGGGAAAGCTGCGTTTGGATATGATTTTCCTAGCACCCTCAGAAATGCTTACATGATTTATGCTCAAGTGTCGAATAAGCCGCTGTTTTTGAGCTGTGTGCCAATCAAAATTCATTTCCTGTGGTCCTCCTTAGCAGGGAGGAAGGAGACAAAGGCGGCAGCTCCGTGGAGCGCGGGGGCCGCTTGGGGCGCCATGTTTGGTGCCTGCGGGGCCGGCAGGCGCCGGGGCTGCAGCCGCCATTTTGCTTTGATAATCCCTGCTAATGAGGCTGGTGCTGCACGGGCTGCGCTCGGTGCCCCGCTTCTCCTCACACTAACTGCTACGGCGTTTTTATGTACTTATTTTCCATCAAATGCTTTGTGCTAAATTAACGTGCTCTTCTGTGACAGTTAGCATACTAGCCTGGTTATTTATATGTAAATGTTTCAAGCTCAGACAGACAGGGAAAGACAGTGTTCCCTACGTCCAACCCCTTGCCCTATGTCATTAACAGTTTGACTTACATTATTAATATTCATTTTACACTAGCAAATGACCCTTTCATTACTTTATTCTTTTTCAAAGCTCTTCTGCTTTGAAGGATAACTTCAATGAAGGTATGTAGCTCAGAACATAAGTTCTGCAACTTCCCAGTGAAAAGGAGAATATTTCCCCTAAATAATCATGTTTGAGATGAATTTGCTTCAGATCTTGA